ATATATATATATATATATATATATATATATCTCCAGTCTACAAACTGACACCTTCGCTATACCCAAATGGTTTACTGACACCTTTAGCCTTCTTTATAAAGAAAGTCAGGCACACAGAAGCGAGCAATTAACTTAGCATGGCACGAAGATAGAGAGATAATTAATTTTTATATTGCCGTGTAGGTAAGGGCTCGGAAAATAAATCCGGATTGTCCTATACCTCTCCAGATGAATTAAATACATGGGAACACTTACCTTCAGTTATGTAACACAGATTAATATATTTTGAAATGGTATTACTAGATACATATTAGGAGGCTTTGCATACACATACACACACTGTATGTACATTAATGGTGTATATTTGCATATTCCATAGGCTTGGGCACATTCAATCCCATTTAAATCTTAGAGCTTTCCTACCTGCTTAGCTAACAATTTTTGTGATGGATTTTGGCACATTGCATCCATCAGTTTATTTACAGCATAGCCCTATACTTATGGGGAAGTAAGTTCAGGGTTTGGTGTTTTTACAAAAAAAATAAAAAAAATTGCGGCCTCAGGCTGCAAAGTGATACAAGGCACGGGAAGTAAACTCCTTTGAAGACAACAGGACGCAGCCTGACTCCATTTCTGTGTATGTATGGCAATAAAGACTACTACTCTACGAGGTGCTATTTTTCTTTGAAATAAAATAATTCTTCGCTATACACTTCCACACTTCAAGATGGGACACACCTGATTTATAAAATTTATTTTAAAGAGATACAAAAACACTGGCGAAAAGAAACTGAATAAAATGTGCACTCACTATTTGAATGAATTGTCATTCGATCCTTTAAAATAGTATACAAGAAGGAGATTAATTCATTGTTCTACTATAGACCAGCAGCCTTTATCGGACTTTGTACTTAAAACGTAAGAGAAAAGGAAGAGGAATTCGTAGATTGCTCCTTTCCTTTAAATATATTTTGAAGTCCAAGGCAGAATAAACTTATGAATACACAAATAAAGAAGAAATAAAGCCCACATTTCCATATGGAGAATCAGGCAACGGAC